GGGAGGCATGGTTAGTAAGGCATCACAGCACAAAATCATCTCTATAAACACTGATCTTTACATGACTTGCTTCGTAAGACTTGACTAAGTAGATGCATTCTTGTAAATACACAGCTCGAACCACAAGGCTAAGATAGTTTGGTTTTGTGGTATCTATTACTCCTGCTGTTTCCCAGTGTGCCCAAGACATTAGCAGTGACTTCAGAGATAACTGGAGTAATATGTTGTGAGGAGGATGCAGGATATTGTAGTCTTCAAGAGACCTTGTTAGAGCCTGGGGAGCAAACATGCAGAGTAGCTTGCTTATGCCTTGGACAAGGAGGTAAAGGACGAAGTAGATGGGCACAGTGCTTGTTTGTGATAATCTAAAGAAAAGCCTATGTGCCTGCAAGGCCATACCAGGTGCAAACAAAGCCCATAAATTCTTTCTGATCCTGCATTTGAGAACCTCTGCTTTTTATTTTTTCCCTGAGCCTGCTTAGGTAAGAATTATTCATTTTGGGACTCCTTCTGTGCTTTGATACACGGGAAGGTCATGTGGATTATTCCAGTGGTAGCCGATAGTCAGATGTATTGCCCCAGCCAACTACCTAAGTATTAGCAGAAGTCTGAATTAATGCAAAGCAAACGTAGCCCTAACAAATAGCAGTGTAGATAGGTCTTGATAGCATGCATGTTAAAACTGCATTAACTCTGATGGTGATAGGAGTATCATGTATCATAGCATGCAACCACAGAATGGCTTGCGTTGAAAGGGAATTTAAAGATCATCAAGTTCCAGTTCCTCTGCTTTGAGGGGCACACGTTTCACTAGACCAGGTTTTTCAAACTGAATAATCCCAATTCTCTTAGTCATTCCTGTCATGAAAGGCTATATATTATAATCATAAATCTCCCTCCCCTGTCCAGAAATAGCAGCACACCTTGAAAATAATTTTATAAAATTTTATTTCTAAATCTGGGGAAACTCGTATTTGTTGGCACCAGCAAGGCTGAGGACAGTGCAGACAAACACTATTCAAGAGGTAGCACAGAAGTGAGTTATATTTCAGGCAGGAGTGCTGGCACTAGTGAAGGTAGACCATGGCCCAACCACAGCAGTGTTTGACTGTCCAGTTGTCTGTGGGATGTGCAGTAAGAGTTGGCTGTTTCTGCCTATCCCCATACTATGTGCTGAGGATAATTCCCCACCTAGCTGTGGGAAGTATTTTGATTATATTACAGCTCATCAGTTTCAAATATAATTGGCTCTCTTACATGTCACCACTTTTTTTAGGGGGCTGCTAGGATTGTTTTCATACACAGAAGGGATTTTTCTTGGGTCTAGGTGATGCATTAGGTTAACATGAAATAGAGGTGAAATTCATCCCAACAGTGTACAGCGCATCTTCTCCAAAGCAGGCTTCCATTTCTTGTCTGGCTTCAGCTTCTGTCTTCTTAAGAAGAATTGTCTAAAAATGAAATCAAGAGAAGATGCTGGACAGCACATTGGAAGGTGGAGAAGGTCGCCAGGGTTTTCTTAAAAACTCAGCCTGACTGTGAATTGGCAATAGCTGAGGGCTAATGGCAACCCATGATTTTCACTCCAGCCTTTCACATTCTGTCTAAAATTTTCAGATTTCAGGTCTGAAACAAAGAGGACATTTTATAAAAAATCAGAAGCAATAATAAGTGACTGAGTGTAATTATCATACTTGTTCTGCCTTTGGCAAATAATTCAGTGACCACATTTCATCTGTGTGAAACCACACTTCAAGATGCTTTAAGAAATTACCCTTCATTTTGAGCACAGTGCCTATTCAGATAAAGGGGAGCTCTAGCTTCCTTTCAGCACAGGTGATGGCCTCATCTTGCATCCTAGAAAATGGGTTTGCATTACTTGAATATTATCCATAGCTAGCTGCAGTGCTGGTCTGTAACTGTAATGTGGCTTAGTGCATTCAACGAATTAAATGTAACTTCATAATGAGTAGACAGTCTGGCAAATAAACCAGTGTGGAAACGGTCTATGTACAAGTTTACTCACATTGACAAAAAGGTCCCAGCAAAGGGGAAGTTTGAAAGGATGTGAGCTCAGCTGTCTCTGATACACAAAAATTTCCATCTGTTGAGTTCTAATTGTTTTAATTAGGGAAGAAATAGACAGGAAATAGGATTTTTGAACTCTAAACAACTACTTGCAAAGACCAGTGCATGAGTTGTGTACTTGCTAATAAGTGAGAGAGATCACATACAGAAGCAAAGTTCCCAGAGTTGAATTTTTCTTAAACTGTTTTGTACTGCCAGGAATTGCTCTGAAAATTATGTTATTTTCCAAGTTTTCCTCACCTACATGAAAAAGCTGAATATACTTGGAGCCTGCTTCATGCCATACAGAAGACTAGCTTTTACCAGTTGGCCTAGGAGAGTAAATAGATTTATGGCACAATTGTCTACTTTTCACCTGCAGCACTTTGCAGTTTATACTAATTAAAAAAAACAAACCAGCTCACCATACAAAATTAGGTCTTGGAGTAGTGCAGAAATTAGTCGATGAACAGACTGAGTTCCTAGTTATTACCTCACTTTACCATCTGGAAATGTGTCATGGTCACTTTTCCTTGCCATCACTGCATGTATGGTGGAAGGAAACAATGATGAAAGAGCCTCCTCCTGTGCAACAGAGAACAGCAGGACTGAAAAGGACTTAGAGAAATGCCACTATTAAGTTTCAGAGCTGAGAGAATTTGCCTATTTGCTGTGAGAGAAGGGATTTAGCTGTCATGCTAAAGCTATATTAGTATAAAAGGGCTTTGCGTTCCCGAGACAGTGTGTATTAACTGGCCTGCTTTTTTGAAGCCACAAACTTGATATTCATAAAGTTTAGAGATGTAAGGATGATACCTACCAAAAATTGAATGCACTTTTAAATAGGTTGCACTCTAATGCTTCTGCAAACAATTCTCATGCATCTGAAAAATGTGTTGTGCCTGAAGTATCTTCTGTGCCATCTGAGGGACCCTTTCCCACAGTTTGTTAGGCTCTGCCCTTCATATGAGAAATCCTCACCAAAAACTCCTCATCCTGGCAGATTTCCCAGTAGAATCAATTGTTTGAGGATCTGGTTGATCAGTAATGACAAAACCAGCTTTGGTATTAATATTTCAGTTGATAAATTGCAAAGGTCGAGGTTTTACTTACATTTGTCAACAGCAACTTTCCAATGAAGTGCAAGGTATTTGAAAAATTACTTCTAATGTTTCAGGCTGGGTGGGGAAGTGCTTTTTCAAACTAAGAGAATATTTTCCTCATGCAACACTAAACCAGCTGGGGAGAAAGGAATGCGTGAAAGGGGTGGAAGTACGCTTGAGTCTCAAAAGATAGGGTTGAGTACCCACGTGCCAGAATATGTAGGTTTTATTCCTGCAAACCATGCCATATAATAATAAGTGAGTTTGTTAATGACACAGTGAGCCATAGAAGAGTTAAGTTTTTCTTTAAAGCTGCCATTTCTTTGCTGTGTTTGGGAGTGTCCTTCTTCTCATCTTGCTCCTTGTTTGCTGTGGTGGTTCCTGCCTGTCTTCTCTCATGTCCTCAGTGATGTGTCTACAGAACCTGCTGCTGGTCCACAATCTCACTTTCTCTTTCTCTGCACTTCCCATCTCTCCTGCAGGCAAAGATGCCAACTATGTGGTGGCTTAATCAGTTCTGTCTTGCCTCTGCAGTGTTCCTTCTGTCCAACCTAAAACTCGCTCTGGAACTCCCAACATGTTGCAATGGGGTGACTCGTGACTTGGAGTAAACACAGCTTGTCCTCAAGGTCCTCTCTGCTGCCCCCTTCTTTGGAGGGATATTCACTCAACCTGTCACTGCTGCCCATAGGCTAAACACAGTTGCCATCTAACTATGCGGTTCCAGGATAGGCACTCCCAGGAGATGATTTTTTTCCATCTGTTTCTAGCATCACCTTTCAATTGTTCCAATTAGAAGATGTGAATCTCATCCCAAAACCCTTAGTTAACATGGATGGAAAATGAAGTTGAAATATGACGTGTGTGATCTCTGCTGGCTCTTCAGTCAGGAGATAGGGCAAAATGTCATTACTGCTAAATTGTGATTTTGGTTTTCTTTGAATGTAAAATTTACTGGATGTTAACTGGAAGAAGCAATGTGGAATTTAAATGGCAGGGTTAGATGGCAAGAGTTCAGGTGTCATCTGTGCTGATCTTCTGTTAGTTCAAAGGCTTCTGCAGCTCACAGAAGTGGAACACTGTGCTAAGCAGGATTTTTTTTTAAATTCATTTTCAAGGTTTTATCTCTGTGGCACTTGTGTTAAAAATACAAAGCACAGAGTGAAAACAAAAACTGTCACTGAATATTGTTCATAGTAGACCTCTTTCAGGAATGTGACTAGACTCAGGTATGGGTGGGGGAGCCAGTGGAATGTTTGCCTGAGCTGGATGAGCCTCTCTGCACTGACTCCAGATTTTGCATTGGGATGGGATGTGTCTTTCCCATTACTCTTCTCAGCATCTTCGCTGTGTCTCTGTTACTGTGCGAATTGTCTCCTGGATTTTGGCCCTGAACCATGTTTCTTTTAGAAGTTACCAGCTTCCCATGTCTTTTGTCTTGTTATAATGCCAGGTAGGGCAGGTATTCCCTGGATTTGTGCTGTGTGATTCAAGTAGGGCATAAGGTAAAAAAGTTAATGCGTGTATTTCATAGCTTATTTCTGTACATGACAGAATGAGTTCAACAAATTCTGAGATCTTTCGCAGTGACAGACTGTGCTGGACCCTGACGTATTTAGTCTAGGTGATATACCAGTACAAAAAACACACCGTTCTCCATCTGCACCCAGACATATAAAATTCCTGAGGTAAGGTCAACAATGCACACAAAGAGAGCTGTTGACTATGGGAATGGAGGACAAACTGGTCAAAAAAAAAAAAAAGAGGAAAAGTGTCTAACGGAAAGGAACTAACACTGAGTTACAGGAAAATCTTTGTTTCTGACTCTAGGTCCTTCGTCGGTTATCAGCAATGATGACGATTCGGCCAGTCCCCTCCACCACATCTCAAATGGCAGTAACACTCCGTCTTCTTCTGAGGGGGGTCCTGATGCAGTCATCATTGGGATGACAAAGATTCCTGTCATCGAAAATCCCCAGTATTTTGGAATTACCAACAGTCAGCTCAAGCCAGACACCTGTAAGTACAAACAACTGTATGTGTTTTAGTCATTCATTTTACCTGTGCCTCCTTAACAGAACTAGCATAACAAAATGCTCTAAATTCCTGGGAGTGGAAGGGTGGGGTTAAAATGTATGCAGTTTGATAAAGATACATGGGATGAACTGCTTTACATCTGTCTAAGCCAAATTCAGCCCTTGTGATGTGTCAACGAAATCAGCAGTGTTGCGCTCAAAGCCCAATCCATATTCCATCAAAGTCACTGGTAGCGATTCCATTGATTTCAGTGGTCTTTGGCCAGTCCTGTGCATTGAATGTTTTCTTGGGAGAAAACAAATCTTAGGTCAGAAGGAAAGAAGCAGTATTGTTACATACGTGCTACTTTTAAATTGATTATATTGGCAGTGAACATGACCTGGCTTTCAAATCTGAGTATTTGTAAAGTTCTAAGAATGATAAGAGTTAAAACTTCAGTTCTTGTAATTTCATTGTATAATTCAACATCTGCAGACAGAAAATATGTTGAATATTTAAAAGTAGAGCAGAAGGTTGCATGATGAACAGTAAGTGTCACATACAAATTCTTTCATGTTCAGTTAGAAGCAGGTGGAATGTGAAAAAATATGAAGAGTTAAACATAGTTAACTATGAAGAATTAAAAGAAGAATATCCCTAACATCAGATGCTACTTTTCAAACCCAGTAACAGGTTTAGAATTGAACACATGAAATGTTGTTTTCAGAACCAATGATTAGCATTAATGCACATAACTTAAAAAATACCTAAAGGATTAACAGTAACTGTACAGCTTCCTACTTTTCACCAGGACACTAAAGTCTTGAGTGTTTCAGAGTGTTGTTCCTACCTATTTTTTCTCTCTTCTCTGTGCGTATGTGTGTGTGAACATGCATACATTTCTGAAGTGTCATCAGAAGTCTGAAGTGTTTCTCTGGGAAGTCACTCCAGAGATTCCCAGTATAGCTGGTGAGCATTTGGCTTCCAGCTAAGAGACACTAAATCCTGACTGTATCCTGCCCTGAATGGTATCACTTCCTAGTACAAACTGTAGCACAGGGGCTTACTGCCAAGGTTGGAAACCCTTGCCTCCAATTTTGCAAATTTTACATGCTGTAATAGGAGTCCTTCTTGACCTCTGCATGAGGACATGCATGCATGACTTCTAACATTGCAAACAAAGACCGATACTGTACTGCCACTTAATTTTTTAATATTAATGCTTATCTACATATAGATTGTATCACTAAGCACAATCCAGAAGGATCTTCCTGTAATGCAAAATGGTTTTTTGCCTTTTTATGGTACATCCCTGATGTTCACTCTTACTATAGCATTTTAGAATGGTACTATTTTGTGATTAGAAATGCCCTATTAACTCTTTTTACCAGCATATATCTGAATAATCTGGCCCAGCATATGTAGTGAGATCACAAGAAAATCACTGAATTGGTGATACTTAATCAGCAAGAGAAAAATATAATGTGAATACATTCTAATGAGAACATAAACTTCTGTGAAGAACAGAAGCTGCTAGAGAATCAGAAATGGGCAACATGCCCACTAGTGCTCTCTAATGTTATATAAAATGCCATGCTTTAAAATATGAGGCTACTGTACCTCCATTCCCAGCTGCATTAGACAACTTTATAATTGTGTAAATAAACATCAGTAGCTGCAGTTTTTAACTTCAGCATTAATGTTGAAACAACATACATGCTGTTGTGGTGAAAAACCCAAACTGTACCAAAATACAGAATCCTCTCACATTTAGTAAACTGCACATTAAGTACACATCATGGCTGATTTGTGTTAAGTATGTCCTGATCCTAAAAATACGTAAGTCTGTGTTTGGTTTTGTGTGCAATGAAACCCATATGATGTCAGGGAAACTAATCACAGTACATGAACTTCAGTTGTGTATAAATGTTTTCAGGATACATCTCAAGAGTTTGCTATGTTGCCCTGGGGAGGTTTGTGGGGCTGATGGTCTGCATTCTGCCACATTGCCACAGTGGTCCCAGTCTTTGTGGTTTTTTGTTGGTTTTTTTTTGCTTTAACAAAGAGAATCAAACTGTGGCAGTGTATAAACCAAGGCAGATTCATCCTATCACATTGAGCATCTGTCCATTAAAAAGTGTAATTAGTGGGCTTCTCAGGTGTAATTTCACATATGCTCTCTTTCCATCTCTCACTTGTTTATTATTACAGCACTATACTTGTCCTTTCTTAACCTGTCAACCTCCTCCTGATGTGTATATCTGACATTATAAACCCCTGAGCTAAGTAGCTTTCACACCTTCTTCCAGTTTAGAATAATGTCAGCTCCAGATGTCATCTGGTTTCTCATCTCCAGCAAGATAGTTAACATTTATGTTTATTTCCTCTCTGGTCTAAGCTCCATTGTGTGCTAGCGTTAAACACAACAGTCACTGACAGTCATGCTGGAAAAGTTTATGTGTTTAGCATACAATGATCTGTGGAAGGAGGTGAGACATCGAGCTAGGTGAAACTGTACGCAGATTGTATTGCAGTTTTCACAGAAACTGAAGGAATCCACGTCTGCTGTGAGTAGCAAGTGGAGTTTCTTTTTTGTTGTCTAATTAAGCTGTATTTTGACTTATCTACAGATAACCATTATTGAATACAGTGTATCAGGCTTCATTGCAAAGTATTATAAGTGTATGGGTTTAAAAGAAAATTAAAAAGTTGATTACAATGTCATTTGAAATTCTATCACTTTATCAGTAAAATGATCCTTTCACTACTGAATAACTAAATCCTGAAGAGTGATGGCTTCTAAAGAGTCAGTCTCAGGCTAAAAGTTATAGCCCTTTCCTCCTCTTGAGATACAGCCTTCAAGGTGGGAAAAGCAAGCTAATGAAGACCAAAGACCCATCGACTTCAGGGGTCAGGTTCCAGTCATTGCTCAGAAGGACTTCATTTCTGTCTGGTTTCAGCACAACTGCTCATCTGTAACTTAATTGACATTACAGTAGAAGATTACATCTTCCAACTGGTATTGGCTAATATTTCCCACTCTGACTGCTCATCATCTTAACTACCCATTTTCTAACCAGCAAACCCGCTGATGCTTCTTCAGCACTTGTCTGTCTGACATGCTATCCCAGTGCTCCTGGCTTTCACTTTCCATGTAGCACACTGATGGTTGTTGCTGGCTGGTGGGTTCATCTGCCACTCAGATATCTTGTTTATTTTCACCTTGAAAGGATACAGTCTGAGGTGCACAGATATTTTACAGACACCTACCAGACTTCTTGGTTCCTTTTTGTGTGAAATCAGAAGGTATTTCCTCTTTGCCAGTACTTAGCTAACAGCGACAGCTCTGTTTTCAGATGTGTGAGGGAGAGTCTGCAGCCTGGACATGCTGAAATGCTCTTTGCATTTAAGTCATTATAAACCAGATTGTGCTGTGTTACTGTTAGCCTGCAAACCTCTTGTCTGAGAATTACCAACAACATTCAGTTGTTGCTGTTGAAAAATGAGCCATAACTTTGTAGTGAAATAATACCACTGAGTCCAGAAACCTTGCATGGATGTCAAACCTTGCAGACATTTCTGTCCCCTGTAACCAGCTGGACAATGCAGTATCTTCTAGACACAGTAGATCGTTAGCTTCAGTAATCTATAAGCTGTCACAGATATTTTTATTTATACCATGATATTTCAAAAATTAGTGTGTGCACAGAAATTGTAGTTGCTAAAGTTGCTGACCAAGCCTACCAGACCTGTTTAAACAGGATGGAATAAACAAAGTCATTTTCCCAGGGAATGACTATGTACTTACTTCACTGCTTAGCTTGCAGCCCAGCACTTGGAATATATCAGTCTATTACTACTAGTTTTCCGTGATTAATGGTGGAAATCCAGTCAGTAAATAACTTTGCTGTGTTTGTAATAATGTGAAAAGCCAAACCTGAGGAGAGGGCATACACAAAATATCAGTGGAAGTGCTCACGTTGATATTCTCAGGGCAGAACTTGAGTAAGAAACTTCTTGCTGGTAGTTTTGGGGTTTTGAGAATCAAATTGTTCTCTGATCCTTACCACAGTAACCCTCACCCCTGATCCACAAAGTCACTGTGGTTGCTTGGGTGCAACTGAAAGGAAGAATGGAGCTTTGCCCTTTTATGGAGAGGTTTGCAAGCTCAAGGTTTCAGGCCTGGTAAGGTGGATAAATAGTTGCACTGACATCAGTTTGCACTTCCCAACTAATCTGTACTTGCAACTCATTTTATTTAATCAATTTATTTGATTTCAGTGATGGAAAAGAGCATACCGTACTAGGCAGGCTTATTGTTTAGTCAGTGGATGGTTTAGTGGCAAGATGTTCTCAGTGACTGGCCACATAAATAGCCACTGCATTTCAGAGGATGTGGTGTGGATTGTGACTTCCATATGGGAAATTTGAGTATATTCTAGAGATAGTCTTAATTTTTTTCTATATTTCTACCATTTGATATTGAGTACTTTCAAGTTTAGGAGTCTGAATATGCAGTTTAGACAATAATTATTGTATTTCCAGTTGGCCTCTTAGGAAAAGTCTGAAGCTGATTACAAGTTGGTAGAAATAATTTGAAATTAATTTTTTTAGTTTGTTGATCTAAAAAATTAATTTAGTCTGTAGCTCCAGTTCTGTAGTAAATTGCTAATTGCATGCGCAATGCTAATTTTAAAGGCAGAAGTTTTGAGAACGCCCCTCTTCTATCCTCTTCTGAACACTGAACTTTTCAATTTATGCTTAGCGATTTTCATTTACATTTTAGGGATTGTGGCATCATTTAGTTAAAGGTGATCTCAGTCTTTTTCTGACTTTCCTTGTTCTTTAACTATATATTCCTTTTAACATATACATAGCCAGACACTGAGTGTCCCTGTTAGGCAGAAAAGTTGAAGATATGCCCTGCTTCAGTCCACCACCTTCTTGAATGACTTTTAAGGGTGAAAAGAAATAGGACAGTTATTCTTTCCATTTTATCATGA